CATTCATAGAAATAGAAGCCATGAATTATAGCACCATTAATGACAAGCAAGTTCTATAAATTGTGGTATCACCCATAAAGAGCTTTTTTAAAAATGCAAGGGTGAGCCGGGCGTGGTGACCCATGCCTGTCATCCCTGCACTCGGGAGGCTGAGGCAGGAGGATCGCTGGCAGTTCCAGGCCAGCCTGGGCTACACAGTGAGCTCAAGGCCAGCCTGGACTGCACAGACCATGTCTCAAAAAACCAGAGAGGGAGAGAAATATAGAAATAGAAAGACATAGATAGAGAGACAGAGACAGACAGAGGGAGAGAAACTGGAAATTTCCCAAGAAACAATTAACGGGGGTTATGGAGGAAGCAAGTTTCTCTCTGAAAAACAAAAGTATCTGTTGGGGGAAGGCATTCACTATTCCACTGCTAGCCGCTTTCTCAGCTTGCCCCAAAATTAGAATTACTCATTTAAGAAGTGAAGCATTATTTCTTTGAGACAGGGTCACGCTAAGTTGCTGAGGCTGCTCTCAAACTTGAGATCCTCCTGTCTCAGCCTTCTGGGAGCTGGCATCAGGGCAGCATCAACCCCTCTTAAATGTTAATTTGGGGGCTGCAAATGTGGCTAAGTGTCAAAGAGCTTGCCCACCATGTACGAGGCTCTGGGTTTGCTTTTTGGCATTACCGAAAAAAAAAAAGTTAACTCTTTTTAAAAAAATCAAAAGGCCAAAAAGACTGAAAGAGAAAAGAAATCAAAAGGCCAGTAAGGCATAAGGTAAAGACAAAAAGGTTCCAGGAGAAGGAAACAGAAACAGAAGCAGGTCCCAAAATGAACACCCCAAAAGCAAAGAACAAAAACCAGAACAGCCACTGAGCAAGGGTCAGGAGAGACCCCCCCCCCCCCCCCCGATTCCGCCCTGAGTGGAATCACCGGGAACCGCAGGAGGCCGAGGCAGGCAGAACTCTTTGGTTGCCAGGAGAGCATTGTTAACAAGGCCAGGTGACCGCAGCTGGCCCACACCCGAGGATCCAGCGGCACTTGGCAGGGCCACGGTGTAGAGCTCTTGCCCGGCGCCTGCAGGCTGAGCTCTGCCCCAGCCCTGGGAAAGGGAAGTGCGTGATAAACTGGTTTATTTGGTGTGTGTTTCCTGATAGCTGATCACAACTTCCCAGCTCTCTTGCTAGATGAAGCCAGGGGGGTAAATCTTCCTGCCCCGTGGAGTGTCCCCCACGGCTGGCTGTGGCTGGCTCTGGGCTGAGACAAGGCCAAGGGAGATGCCCTGGGGTGAGAGGTCCCCCGAGTCTGCTCTGTCCCCCATCCAGTCCATGATCCCCCCAGAGAAAGAGCCACAGAAGACACAAGTGGAAATATAACCATTAGATCATCTTCCTTAACAAGCAGCCATGGGACCAGGGCCCCAAGAGCCCCCACGATAACACAGTGCTGAGCCTGGGCCTGTCCCCCGCCCCTGCCCCAGCCGGGCCGCACTGTGAGCGGCTGGCTCCCAGGGACACCGGTGCGGCTGAGCCACTGCAGCAGAGGCCTCCCGTCCCCGCCTCTCCCCTCCCGGCCCTCCGGTGAGCAGCAGACCAGGAGCCCTCATGTTGGTGAGCAGGTGAGGGGTGGAGAACCCCGAGCTGGAAGATGCTGGTGGACAGGGCGAGGGGGAGGGAGGACTGAGCCCGATTCTCTAGGCTCTGGGAGGACGAAGGGGACAGAGGAGGACAGGGCAGACACGGGGAAAGGGTCTGAGGCTGGAGATTGGAGGCCTCTGCAGCAGTGGTCAGGACTTTCCACGCGTGGCCCCCAGCCCTGGCCACTCCCGGTGACCTGCTGCCAGCACCGATTCTGGACATGCCACTCACCCTGGACACCCCAGACCAGGTCCCCACTGGCCTTTCCCAAGCCTGACTCCAGGAAGTACAAGTAACGTGGGGCTCTGCTGAAGGTCTCTTGGGATTGTCAGGGTCTCGCTGTGCGGTTCAGGCCGGCCTGGAGCTCACTCTGTAGCCCAGGCTGGTCTGGAATTTGCAAGGATCCTCCTGCCTCAGCCTCCCTAGTAAATCAGGACTACAGTCACGCACCACAAAAACCTCTGCCCTTCCGCAGAGCCAGCAGCGAACCGTGTCCTCCAGGTTGCATTCTGCTCTCGTGGACCCTTAAGTCTTTCTAGAGACCCACATTCCTGGGGAAGCCGGGAGATAAGCATCCGTAAGGCTTGTTGCTAAACAGTTTTTTCCCGCGTGTCAACGCACAGGGTTTAGCTCTGAACAGCCCGTCGTGTCACGGGGAGAAAGGCTGTGTGGGGGAGGCCAGGGTCTACGAGAAGAGGGAGAGAAGTCTACGTTGAGAAGAGAGATGGGTTCCTGGCAAGACAAAGGTTCCTAGCAGCTGTATGAACCCGGGATTCTCAGAATTGTTATGAGAACCACACAAAAATAATCCAGCTCTTAAGAAAGTGCTGGTTCTTTTCAAGCCTTGCCTTTAAATGCCTCTGATGTGTTCCGGTTGGAGACTGATTTTAAAAGCTGCATAACCACCTAGGAAAGAAGAGAGCCGAGCAACAGAAAACCCTCTCGTGGCTGATTGGAGGAAACATTAATGTTTTAAAAGGGCTTGGTGACTGACACCATGGTGGGGGTTTTGTTCTATATCATTTGTTTATTGTTGGAGAAAAAGATAGTTGCTGGCACCAAACCCATTCTTCAAACATATTCATTAAAGAAAATGAAGGATAAACGTGTCCGCTGGGAGATGGGAGCCGAGAAAGGTTGTGATACACAATTAATCCTGGGCAGGGTGACAGATCCGTTTGTAAGCCAGGCTACTTGGGAGGCTGAGGCAGGAGGATCACTGCGAGCTCAAGGCCAGCCTGGACTACAGAGTGAGACCCTGCCTCAAAAATGACCAAAAAATTCCCAAAGAGATAAGAACAAAGCAGAGAAGCATCCAGAAATTGCCTGACGCTGCAGATTCCCACAGCCTGGGATGAATTCCCGGTTTCTTCTAAATTAATGAGGACCCACGAACAATGTCAAGTGGATGAGTAAGAAAGTCCCCAAAGTGTGTCTGATCGTTTGCATTTCTTTAAATCTTTTACATCGCCGTTTTTATATTAGTTCACTGTGGGTGCTCTTTTTTAAAATTGCCTTGTCAGCCCATTAATTTCAGGACGGAGACTTACGTGCAGACACAGGTTTGTAGTGTCACACCCACACTTCCCTAGGCCTCCGCCTGCTGGCTCAGTTGCTTTTCTCTGGTTGCTGAGACAAAATACCCAGCACCCAAAATGAGGACAAGAAAGGCTTATTTAGCTCAGTTTGTGGAGGTTTCAGTCCAGACTCAGCTGGCTGCAAGGGAGGGTGGCGTGGCAGAGGGCGTCGCAGGGGAGAATCAGCACACGGCGGGCAGCAGGTAACAAACCATCCAGAGACCACCTCAGCTCCCTCCACGCCTTACGTCTTACCAGGTCACTTAGAGCAGGTTCCACTCCCACCCTGGACCCTGTGCCTGGAGCCTAGCCTTGCACCAGACTCAGTTTCAGCACCACACTCTTCCGTCTCTGAAAAAACTCCAGCCGGCTCTGAAACAGTCCCACCCGTGACCCCGTGAGGTTTTGGGGGGTCCCTGCCAACTCCCGGTAGCTACCATTGTACCTGCTGACTCTGCGCTTTTGACAGTTAGATTCTACGTGCAGGTGAGGTCAGGTGATATTTCTGTACCTGGCTTATTTCATCCGGCATAATTCTCTAGTTCACCTGTGTTGTAGTAAACGAAGAGTTCCTTTTTTAAGGCTGTATGATATTCTACTGTGAGTGTATATATCACAATATTTTTCCAGTGCTGGGGATCAAACCCAGAGCTTCCCACGTGCTAGGCCAGTGCTCTCTTACAGATGCACCCTCAGCTTCTTGTGTGCTTCAGCTTTTTACTTATTTTTATTAGTATATGTTTCATCCATTCATCTGTCTTAAACACAGAAATGATGTTTGAGCTGTGTCTCCTTCACAGAAGAATGAATGGGAAAGAGGAAGGGGGAAAAAGAAAAAAGAATGGGAAATGAAGAAGAAAAACAGGATCTGGAAGAGTCCCTTGACTGCATAAACAGAGGGTTCAAAATTTATTCTGGGGGCTGGGGATTTAGCTCAGCGGCATAAGCACCTGCCTTGCAAGCAGGCAGTCGTGAGTTCGATCCCCGGTACCGATAAAAATAAAAACAAAAGTTGATTCTGTTTGATTTTGTTTTCTGGGCAGCTTTTGTGCCCCTGAACAGAAACAGAGGTGTATTAGTGAGCTTTCTGTCACTCTCACCAAACAACTGCAGTAGTCAGTCTAAGAGGGGTGAGGCTTCTTTTGGCTCCTGGTTCTGAGGGTTTGGTCCAAGGTTGCTTGGCCCTGTTATTTGGACCTGCAGCGAGGCAGCCCGTGATGGAAGGACACAGCAGGCAGTGCCCCGGAAGAGGGTCGCGGCCAGAATCACACGGTCCTCTTTCAGGCGCCATCCCAGTGACCTCACTGTCTCCCCGAGGCCTCCGCTCCGCAAGGCTCCACCCAATAGCACCCCAGGCTGAGGACCAAGCCCTTCAGCACACGGCCCCTTGAGGGTGCCTCCAAACCACAGAAAAAGGTCATCCAAGGTGGATGACATCCAAGTTGACCATAAGCAACTAAGTTAAGTCTTTGAGATTCCATCTCAGGCATGAATTCCCCCGGCAAGCAGAAGTGCACTGCTGGTGGCTTGAAGCCTCCTAGAGCAATGCGCATAAGCATGAGATGAGTCTGGGGATGGAGCTCAGTGGTACAATATTTGCTCAGCATCCACTAGACCCTGGATTCCATCCCAGCCCCACAAACCCAAAGGACACAAACACAACAAAAATGAATATATCTGTAACGCAGCATAGAGTTGACTTCTTCAAACAAAGTGTAAGTTTAAGTAAAATATTTTTTTAAAAAAGATTAAATGAGCACCTCCAGGTCTCCATGGGAAGCTGGGATTTGAACCCCTTTTCTGACTCCCAGTTTTCTGTGTTTCCCTCCCCTTTTTGTTCCCACTAGACGCAGGTTCTCCATGGAACCCAAAAACCAAACAGCCGTCTCTGAATTCCTCCTCCTTGGACTCTCGGAGGAGCCGCAGGTACAGCCCGTGATTTTCGGGCTCTTCCTCTCCATGTACCTGACCACGGTGCTCGGGAACCTGCTCATCCTCCTGGCCATCGTCTCCGACCCCCACCTGCACACGCCCATGTACTTCTTCCTCTCCAACCTGTCGCTGGTTGACATCTTCCTCTCCACCACCACTGTGCCCAAGATGCTGCTGAACACCTGGACCCAGAGCAAAGCTATCCCTTTCACGGGCTGCCTCACCCAGATGTACGCCTTCCACCTCTTTGGGACCATGGACAGCTTCCTCCTGGCCGTGATGGCCGTTGACCGCTTGGTGGCTATTGTCCACCCGCTGCGCTACTCAGTCCTCATGCGTCCCCGCGTCTGTGGGCTGCTGGTGGCGGGCTCCTGGGTGCTCACCAACCTGCAGTCCCTGGTGCACACCTGCCTCATGGCCCGGCTGACCTTCTGCGCTGGCTCCGAAATCCCCCACTTCTTCTGTGACCTCACGCCCCTGCTGAAGCTCTCCTGCTCGGACACTCGCGTCAACCAGCAGGTGGTGTTTGCGTTCGGCCTCGTCATGGGCGTTACCCCGATGTCCTGTATCCTCCTCTCTTATATCTGCATTTTCCGCGCTGTCATCCGGATCCCTTCTGCTCGGGGCAAGCGGAAAGCCTTCTCCACCTGCGGCTCGCACCTCACGGTGGTGTCGCTGTTCTACGGAACCATCTTCGCCACGTACTTACAGCCCGCCACCCTCAACAGCTCCCAGAAAGACAAGGCAGCTGCGCTCATGTGCGGGGTGATCATCCCCACCCTGAACCCCTTTATCTACAGCCTCAGGAACCAGGACATGAAGGCTGCCCTGAGGAAGCTCGTCAGCAAGGCGGCCTCCTCCCAGAGCTAGGGCAGGACGGTCGCTGGACCCCTACCCTGCTCCAGGACCACTGTTCTGTGCCAGGGGCGCAGAGAAGCATCCGATCCTGCTCTCCAGGAGCTCAGGGTCCAGAGGGAAAGATGGACACACAAATAAATCCTTAGAGAACAGTAGGGACGGGCTGAGGGTGTGGGACTCAATCCCCAGGACCACTTGGGTGAAAAATTAAGATAGAACAATGTGGTAAATATGTTAAGAGATGGATGGATAATCCCAGCACTCGGGAGGCTGAGGCAGGAGAATCATTTGCAAGTTCGAGACCAGCCTGGGTACAAAGCAAGCTCAAGGTCAGCCTGAACCGCACAGCAAGACCCTGTCTCAAAACGATCCCCCAGAGAGAGAGAGAGAGAGAGAGAGAGAGAGACCACTGCTCTGTTCCAGGACCCCTGTTCTGTGCCAGGAACCTAAAGATGAAGTTTTCATTTTCCTCAAGATTTATCTTCCCCGTGAACATCAGAAAACCTGAGAATGCTTCCAAGTGGCCTCAAATTATCCCTCCCTGGGATACCAGACTTACAGAACCTCTCGGTGAACAAGGCTTCTGGAACAGAAGATAACCACATGCAATAGATTAACCCACGCTAACTTCCCAATAATTTGTTTTGAAAGTCTGTGTCATACTTTTTATTCTTTTGGGGGGGGGGTTGTTTTGTTTTTAAAATTAAAAAAAAAGATGTATTTCTCCTCATTCATTTTTCTCTTTCTCAGGGCTGGGGGTATTTGTGGTACCCAGGGTCACCTGACCGCTGAGCTGCATCCCTGAACCGTTTTTATTTTGTTTTGAGGCAGCATCTCATGAAGTTGCCCGGGAGGGACTCACACCCGAGACCCTCCTGCCTCAGCCTCCCTGAGTGCCTGACATCCAGCTGAGTCCCCACACCCAGCTTCCTGGGCTCACTTTGGGCCAGAACAGGCCATGTGCTCGTCCAGCCACAGTGCTGTGCTTCCTTCGTGGTAACAGGACACTTGGGGAGGACCCGCTGAGACTCCCGGCCACCGGCCTCGGCCTCCGGTGACTCCGGACCACAGTCGCTGTTGTGGCTGGCTCCTCATGGTTTGAAACATGCCAGTGTTCAGCTCATGGAGATTCTGGTAAGCAGGTCTGGTGTTGGGCCCTGGGTTCAATCCCCAGGAACAAAGAAAGGAGGAAACACGGACACCAGGCCTCACGCAGGGAGAAGCTCAAAGGACACGCATGGGACGGGTTTGCCTCCACGGCCCTCAGAAGGGCCACCCGCACCCCGATCCTGCATCTCTAGAACTGTAACACAATGCATTAGTTTGCAGTGTCACAGCGGCCTCAGAAAACTATGCAGTTAGCCAGGCAGGGGTGTGACACCGCCAGGATCTTGTTCAGGCACCGTCTCTGGCTCATGACCAACCCTAGGTCCCAGCTCGCAGACTGGGCTGCGGTTGGAGGGTTTAAACTGCGGGGTGCTTGCTGGGCGCCCCGAAATAACGGGACAGCAGCTGAGACCTGCTCTCCGCACCGTGCTGAGCCCTCTCTGGGCACCATCTTGTTAGGTTTTAAACGACATCCCTGTGGGATGCAGCAGGGGACCCTTTTCTTACGGATGAAGAGACTGAGGCTTGGAAAGTGTCCCTGCTAAGAAGCCAAGAACCCCACGAAAACTTGACGCTGTCTGGAATCCAGTGTGAAGCAGAGTCCACAAGGGGGCGCCCACTGGGCAAGTCCAGCCTCCCGTCTCTTCATATGGTTTGCAAGCTAAGGATTTTAAAAACTTTTTTAATGGCCAGGGGGACATTAGAAGAATTGCTGGGTGTGGTGGCTCCTGTGGGCAACTCCTGCTCCTTAGGAGGCTGAGGCAGGAAGACTGCAAGTTTCAGGCAACTTAATGAACTGTGTCTCAAAGTTTAAAAAAAAAGATTGAAGACTGAAAATTTACTTTAGGGACAAAAGTCCTTGCGCACCTGTGCAGGATTCTGGGCTCAGCCTTCTGTGCCAAAGAGAAGGAGGAAAAGAAAGGAGAGCAGAGGGAGGGCAGGGAAGGAAGAGATTTTGTGTGTGTGTGTGTGTGTGTGTGTCCCAAGGGGTCCATAACACACTTACACGTTGCACATCACTGGGGGAGCTGGAGAAAATTGGGGCCCAAGAAGAATTAAAAAAAAAAAAACAGACGCGGGCTCCCATGTGGTCCAGGCTGGCCTCGAACTCGCGGACCCCACTACACGGAGGATTTAAACGAGCCATTCCCAAATCCCCTTGTCCAAAGCTGTAGTTAACATGCGCGACCACCAGGTGGCGATGGTGCACTCTTCTACAGTGAATTTAAAATTCACTTTTCAAAGCAGATCCCAAGCCCTGAATGACCGTGACCTTGGGTTTGCAAGGAGACTTGGAGGTGGTGGGGGGCTCTGCCCTCTCCCCAGGAATTGGTCCACAGAGCAGAAGGAGGGAGGGCTTGGGGTGGGGACCCACATTACAGCTTAGGAATGCACACACTTTCTGGAGGGTCCGGGCGTCAGGATTGGCGGCTTTCTGGGCCCCGGGAGCCTCTGTCCCTGTCATTTAACTCATGCTTTTGTAGCAAGGAGCCAGTGGTCAGCCGCACATCGGGGAAGGGGTGCAGGAATTATCATCCTGCGATGTCACACAACATTCAGTCTTCCATTTCACCCTTGTGTTGGATTTTTCAGGCCGCGGTTTGTTAGCCCTGGTGTAGGTTAATGGGCGTGACAAGAAGTAAGGAGATCAAAGAGGCTGTTTTAAAAAATGGGAGAGGATGGGACTGGGGATTTAGCTCAGCGGCATAAGTGCCTGTCTTCAAGTGTGTGGTCGAGAGTTCAATCCCCGGTACCGATAAAAAAGAAAAAAAGACCAAAAAATGAGAGAAGTTGGAGTGGGCTGAGTTTCAGCACTGGAAAAGGAAGAAACAGGTGAAGGTACCACAGGACCTTGTCACATGCCATTCCAGCCTCCTGCCGCCTCCTAAGGGCTGCCTGCCTGTCTGGCATGGAGATCTCAGAGCAAACCGCACTTCCTCAAGAGGTCTCCCCTGACCTCCACCCCCTCCACCACTGCAACCACATCTGGGACCCAGATCCACTCAGTAGCCCACATTTTTTTTGTCTTTTTTTGAGACAGGGTCTCACTATGCAGTTCAGGCTGGCCTTGAGCTCACTTTATAGCCCAGGCTGGTCTCAAACTCGAAACCATCCTCCCGCCTCAGCCTCCCAAGTGCTGGGATTACAGGCGTGAGCCACCACACCCAGCAGTAACCCACATTCTTATTGTCACTGTGCTGGGTCCCCAAAAAGCTCATGTGGTAAAGGCTTGGGCTCACGCCCTGTCACTGATGGGAGGCCGGGGACCTCCTGGGAGGTTTTAGGCCACCAAGATAGCATGTCTCCAGTTGGGAATTTGAGGCTCTAGTCCCTTCCTCCTTACCCCTAGTTTGTGGCCTGGCCACGGCACAAATGGCTTCACTGCACACCGGGTCCCGGGCTGTGATTTGGGCTCATCTCAGGGCCAAAAGCAGCAAGGCCAACCGCCCACACACTGAAGCCTCTGAAACCATGACCTAAATTAGACCTTCCCACTTTATACGTCATCATCTGAGGCATGTGTTACAGTAACATCATCTGAGGCATGTGCTACAGAAACAAACACACACACATTCATCTGTGGCATTCTTTGGTTAATGTCTCTTGCACTCTAAACTGTGAGCTGATACCCAGTGGAGAGAGGGCTTTTCACTCCTCTCGCCCAACTGTGTTCCCTCATGCTTAGGACGAGAGTCACTTTCAATATGTTTGTTGAGTGAATAAAAGGTGGAAGGAACAGAGCGGTGATGTGATGGCAGGAATCCGGGAGGCCTGGAGGGCGGGTGGCCAAGGTGGGCGGAGTGGGAACAGAGGCGTCAGGCTGGCTTCGGCTTGGGTACGGCTTGGGGAAGGGTGAATGCCACCTTCCAGAAGTGAGTTAGTCCTCGAGAGACAGACCTGTTAGGAAGGAGCATGCCTGGCTTCCTGGCCTCTGGCTTCTTGTCTTGCCCCATGATCTCTCCCCTCACATGGGTGCCCACCACAGTGCCACGCACGATGTGACCCTCGCCAGGGGCCAAAAGACAGCACCATGCAATCTTGCACTCTCAGTCTCTAAAGCAGTAAGATACATAAACCTCTTTTTTATAAAATGCCTGCCCCGGCCTCAGGTATTTTGTTATAGCAACAGAAAACAGACAAAAGCAACAGTCAAGGTTAGGCTGCCGCAGTCTGAGGAACAAACTCCGCAAATTTCCTTCATCCTCAAAAAAACCCTTTTCTGTACCCTCATGCAAGCAGATTTCTGCTAAACTCAAGGACAGAGCCTCTGGAGCAGGATCAGAAAGTTCTAGGTCAAAGTATTCATTCATCAATAACGAGACGCTGTGAGAAAGTAACCCAGGGCTTCTCTAAACTCTCAGCAAGGGGTGCCGGGAGGGGCCGGCTCATCTGACTCACATCCCAAGGGGCAGAGTAACCTTGAGCACAAGACCGCGACCCTCTCTCCCTCCCTGTGGGACACTGCGGAGCAATGGGCACGGACGGTGTGGAGACACCGAAGCACAGAGGGAAAACAGAGCTATCCCAGGACCCCATGCCAGGTCAGAGGCGGGGGTCCCCCAGCCCGGGTGAGGGTGACCCTGAATCCAGCCCACCCCTCCACGTGCCCCTGACTCACCCAGTTACCCTGACCATGGGGAGAAGGAGCAGCCCCAAGTGGGGTCCACAGAACAAAAAGTAGACAAGCAGGCAGGCGTGATGGCACACGCCTGTTGCCCCGGCACTCAGGAGGCTGAGGCGGGAGGATCGCCACAAGCTCAAGGCCAGACTCGGCTCCATGCAGGGCTCTCTCTCAAAAGAAAAACAAAAGTAGAAAAGCAGGTGAAGTGGCCAGAGAGCCGCTTCCTGAAAGCCTAAGGACCCTCCAAAGTCTGGGCTGGGGGTAGGGGACCCCAGAGAGGAAGTTCCTACCCCCCCAAGTGCCCATCTGCTGGGAGCTTAGCAGGACGGAGGAGGTGGGCTGGCTCAAGGAGCAGAATGGATTTGCCTACACTTTGGCAGTGGAAAGGAGTCTGCAGGGATTCCCCCGAGATCTGTCTCTGTCTCTGTCTCTGTCTCTGTCTCTCTGTCTCTCTCTCTCTGCGGCTGGCACAGGGCTGGCTTCTCCCAGGCCTTACATCTGCTACAAAGGACCCCAAGTCATACCAGGTGGGGGCCCAGGGCAGTGACCCCATTTTAATCCCACTGTGTCTGTCCAAGACCTGCTCTGTAAGAACAGTCAGTGCCGGGTGTGGGCAGCTTCCGATTTCACCCTAGGAATTTGGCAGAGGAGGGGCAGAGCTCAGCCCTGAGCAGCCCTGTGGGTGCCCCTGATGGTTACGGTGGCCCAGTGTTGTCTGTCTCCCAGGATTCACGGCTTGAGAACTCAAAGGGATGGGCCCCAGCCACGAGGGTGTGGGTCAATCATAGAGTGTCCACCTCAGATGTGCGGGCTCCTTGGCTCTAGGGTGCCCCAGCTCTGCCCCCGACTTGGGCCTGTGAAGCTCTGACCCCCAGCCATCTGCCAACTGGGGCTTCTCTCCTTTTCCAGACTGACACCTAGCCAAGAAAAAGGACAGGGCCTAAGGGATGTATATGGGGTGCTAACCAGTTCACCGGGAGACACACACACCATGGAAATCTAACAAGACCAGACAGCACAGACAGAAAGAGTATCTGAAAGAATACTGGCCCACCACGGCCCAGAGGCGATGAAAGACATGAATTCACATATCCAAGAAGCCTGAGGAGATAAACTCACAGTGAGGCTTTAAAACCACACGCACGCACACACACACACACACACACACACACACACACACATCCCTATGCCTAGGGCTCTGGGCCACCCTTCCAGGCACCAGATAGCCTATCTGAATGTCCAGTAACAGCTGGACAGCAGTGGACGGACAGAAGAGAGCCTCCCAAGGAGGTGCCATTGGACCTAAAACACAAGGGGAAATCACAAGAAAACCTGAGTTTCTCGGACAAAGTGTGAGTGTGTGAGTGTGTGTGTGTGTGTGTGTGTGTGTGTGTGTGTGTAAAGGCCCTGGGGCAGGAAGATGAGAAGAATGCCAGAAGGAAACCACAGAGTTCAGGAAAGGGGGCAGACAACAGATGGAACCGGAAGCTTTGAGGTAATGCTCGGCATGCAGAATCTTCTCAGGGCGAGAATGAGGATCACAGGAAGGCCGTCAGCGGGAAGGTGCTGCAATCCGATTTTAGTTCAGGTCCAGTCTGGGCAGTGCATGGGGCAGGAAACACGGGGATAAAGTGGGTTACATTTCCACGAGAACATCTCCAGCCCCATCCAAGCTCACGAGCCATGACTTCCGTTGAGAGACTTGGGTCTATGTCCCCTACCCTGGACGCTGGAAGTGACCAGTGTGTCTGATGGTTCACCCTGACTGCCCACTGGGTGCCTGGAACATGACAGAACATACTTCTGGGTACATCCGGGTGGTGGTGGTCACGACCTTGAGGAGAGCCTGGTCCCACCCTCCTCTTGGACTCTTCCTTGCTGGCTTCTTGGCTGGGGCAGTCTTCCCCTCCATGTCCTTCTAGCCGGGCATCTCTGCCTTGAAGCCGGCTGTCCAGGGACTAAACCCTCTGAAACAGTGAGCCAAATTCAACCCTTTCTCCTTTAAATGGCAGGTGTCAGGTGTGTCGTTCCAGACACAAACATCTGATCAGCACCAAGTGTAATAACGCCCAATGCTATCAGGAAAGGAGGGCAGCTTCTGCCTTGTGTTTTTGTTTTGTTTTGTTTGTTTGTTTGTTTGGTCTCTTTCCTTTTTATCGGTACCGGGGATCGAACTCACGACTGCCTGCTTGCAAGGCAGGCGCTTATGCTGCTGAGCTAAATCCCCAGCCCCCTGCCTTGTGCATTTTTGGAGCCCTGAGTGGCTGTCTAAGAAGTCCAAGGACCCAGGGCCACCACAGTGAGAGGAACAGGAGGACACATGGGAAGCCCACAGCTGTGGTGGAGATTCCTGCCCATGGCCGGCATCAGTGCAAGACCTGTGCCATGCTGAGGGCTGGTCTCCAGTGGTCGCCTTAAGACATGGGGCCAGGAGGCAGGTGGTTAGGTACTGGGCTGTACCCGCAAAAGGAATTAAGGCGTCCTTGGGGATGAGTGAGTTGTTATAAGAGTGAGCCCCCACCGCAGCCCCAAAGTGTCGCCCTCTGGCCTCCTGTCTGGGGACAGGACCTCCTGCCCCCTCCCTTCCTCTTTTCTCTCCTGCACCAGGATGCTTCAAGCCTGGCGCCTTGGGCAGCACCAAGCTGGTGAACCTCCAGAACTCTGAGTTAAACAAACCTCTTTGCTTTATAAAGTTACCAGCCTTGGGTCTTTCATTATCCTAATGAAAAACTGATGGATACAACCTACGATTGAGGATGAACCCATTGTGTGTGCGTGTGTGTGTGTGTGTGTGTGTGTGTGTGTGTGTCTCTCTCTCTCTCTCTCTCTCTCTCTCTCTCTCTCTGTTTTTTGTGCCCCCCTAACCCTTTCCACTGAATATAGACAAGGATGCCAGTCCGGCCCCGGCCCTGTTTCCGACCCATAGCAGCCGTGAGCACCCTAAGCCAGCTGTTTACACCAAGTTTGGGGACAGTTGGTGAAAACAGCCGCAGCCATGGGGAGCTGCGCGAGGAGGCAGAGGCAGGGGTGGCCTGGAGGAGACCAGGGAGGAGGCTCGGTGGACAGCGGGCCATGGAAAGGGAAGACGCCAGGGCTTGGGCCTGGTGGAAGTCATGGACGAAAAGGAAGAGGAGGTTGGGTGCGTTTTGGAGACAGACCAGCTGCCACCGTGCAGAGCTGGTAAGAGGCTGCCCGGGCCCGGAGGAGCCCAGGAGGGCGCCTGCACCCCCACCAGGCCGGGGCGACTACATCTCCCAGCAGCGCCCGCTCGTGCAGCTGGAAAGGGGAAGGGAGAAAAAACAACTTCGGGCCAAGCATTCCCGGAATGCGCTTCCTGCCGGCGGGGCCGGGGCGCGGGGCGGGCTGCAGCCGGGGCGGGGCGCGGGCCGGGGCGGGGCGCGGGATGGGCCGCGGAGCGGGTGGGGGACCGCACTCGGCTCGGCTCGGCCGCCCGGGCCCCAGCATGGCCGAGCCGCTGCTTTGGAAAACCTTCTCCCGCCTGCGGGGCCGGGAGAAACTTCCCCGGAAAAAGTCAGACGCCAAGGAGCGCGGTGAGGGCGGCGGGCACGGGGCAGGGCGGGATGGCGAGGAGCGCGCGCGCGCGCGGGGCCTGGGGTCCCGGGACCCCCCAGGAGGGGCAGCGCGGGGCGGGGGGACAGCGGGACCCCGCCGAGCCCCCTGCGGAGCGAGGCGCGCACGGGACGCGCGAGGGTCCCGGGAGCAGCGGGTGCGGGGATGGGGGCGCGGACCGTTATGTGCGGCGGCCCGGACGGCTCCGCGGGAGGCCCGGGAGGGGGCCTCGCCCCGACAGGAAATGGGGTGGCGGGGAGGAGGGGCGGGCGGCCGGGAGCACCGCGCTGGGACCCGGGAGGAGCCGCGCGCCCGCATCATCCCACGACCTCCGGTCTGCGCGCGCTGCTGTTGCTGCGCCCGTCTCCGGCAGCTCGGGGAGACCGTGACCCCTTTATCCAGGGAGGGAAACTGAGGCACGCGGTAGTTTTCGGTAGCTCGCCCGGGGCCGGCGGAGTGAGTTAAACAGTGATGTGGCCCTTGCGACTCATAGCAGAGACCTGTGAGACCGTGTGTCCTGCAGGGCGGGAATCAGAGGTGGCCGGGGGACCGAGTCCAGGGGCAGCAGCAAGACCTTAGGGAGCCCCGAGCCGCAGGGGAGGCGGGGCGGGGTGTCCTTTAAAAAGGACGGCGGCTGCACCATGACCTGACCTCTCCTCCCCGGCTCTTCCTGGAGATTCCAAGGTTCCCAGAGCCGGACGAGGGACGGGGGTGCCCACACATAAACACACACAGGAAATAGGCTGTGACACGGAGGCCACGAGGCCTGGACCCTTGGCGCCGGCCTGGGCCGAGGGACAGACCGGCCCGGGGTGGGGGCGCAGTTTGGGCTGCTGCGGATGCAGGGCACAGTGATCTTCACCCTGCTCCTGAGACTGTGTCTGCTCTGGGATGTGCGCCGGCTGGGGCACAGTGTCTGGGAGCCCCCCAAACCCTCCTGAAGGTGAGAGCTATGTCCATCCCTCTGTCCGTCCTTCCCAGGAGGATGCTGTGGCTCAGGAGAGGGCAGGGACTCACAAGAGGGCAGCTAGGACTAAGGCACAGGAGAAACCAGATCCCAGGGCCCGAGGGCCCGAGGACAGCTGCCCTGGGCCCTGGGGCTTCGAGCACTCAGCCTGCTTTGGAATGCTAGGAACCGAGCTGGACACCAGGGAGATGGCTGGCCTGTGGCTGCCCATTCCATAGGAGGCAGTGGGTCCCTGGGGGCAGTGATCGCAACCCCGGGACAGGACAGGGCATCCCTGTGTGTCAAGTCAGTGGCATGCAGTGGAGGCCAGCACCGAGCTGACCCCAGAGGAGCCTCAGGCTGGGGCTGCTTGGGGGGTGCCTGGAGCCTCCTCTCACCCAGTCTACTCCCCTCCAGGCCGCCCAGCCCAGCGCCCAGGGCCCACCCCACCAGAGCCAGAGCCCCTAGCCCTCGAAGGGCCCCAGGCTGGAGCAGAGGGGCCCCCCAGCCCTGAGGCACCCCGGAGCCCTGCCAGGGGCGCGTACCTGCAAAGCCTAGAATCCAGCAGCCGCAGATGGGTGCTGGGAGGGGCCAAGCCCCCGGAGGAGGCGCCTCTGGGACCGGGAATTCCTAGCAGTGGGGAACCCGCTGGCGAGATCTGGTACAACCCCATCCCTGAGGAAGACCCCAGACCCCCAGCTCCTGAGCAGGGCTCTGCTGAGCCGGAGAGCCCAACCCACCAAGGTAGGTACCTGTGTCACCTCCACACTCCCAAGGCCACAGCCAGCCTCACACTCCCGCCCCGGCCCAGGCTCTGGACCCTGAAGTGTGCTCTCCCCCCAGGTGCCGCCCCTGCAAGCCCCCCAACCAAAACCTCCCGCACCAAGTCCCCAGGCCCCGCCAGGCGCCTCTCCATCAAGATGAAGAAGCTGCCCGACCTTCGCCGCCGCCTGAGCCTTCGGGGGCCCCGGGCCAGCCGGGAGCGTGAGAGGGCCGCCACGGCGGGCTCGGTCATCAGCCGTTACCACCTGGACAGCAGTGTGGGGGCCTCCGGGCGGACGGCAGCCACCTGCAGCACTCGGAGCCCCAGGGCCGGGTACCTCAGCGACAGTGACTCTCCCGAGCGCCCCACAGGGCCCCCTGCGTCCACTGCCTCCTTTCAGCCCTACCAAGCAGGCCCGGCGGCCCGGGTGCCCCCGGCTGCCCTCTGGGGCCGCCTCAGTCTGCACCTGTATGGGCTTGGTGGGCTGCGGCCAACGCCAGGGGCCACCCCGAGAGACCTCTGCTGCCTGCTGCAAGTGGATGGGGTGGCACGAGCCCGCACGGGGCCCCTTCGAGGAGGGCCGGACTTCCTGCAGCTGGACCACACCTTCCATCTGGAGCTGGAGGCCGCCCGGCTCCTACGGGCCCTGGTGCTTGCTTGGGACCCTGGCGTGAGGCGGCACCGACCCTGCGCCCAGGGCACGGTGCTGCTGCCCACGGTCTTCCGAGGTAGGACATGGGATTTAAGGCGGGAAAGGCAGGGTACAGTCCCTTCCCCTGAAAGTGCCCAGAGGGTTGGGCTCTAAGGGAAAGATATGGGCTGGATTAGGAGGGGCTGGGACCCTCCTAATCTTCTGGCCCAAATTTCCTTGTGTCCCCAGGCTGCCAGGCCCAGCAGCTGGCCGTCCGCCTGGAGCCCCAGGGGCTGCTGTATGCCAAGCTCACCCTCTCAGACCAGCAGGACGCACCCTCCGAGGCTGAACCCCGTGTCTTCGGGCTGCCCCTGCCACTGCTGGTGGAGCGGGAGCAGCCCCCCGGCCAGGTGCCCCTCATCATCCAGAAGTGTGTTGCACAGATTGAGCGCCGAGGGCTGCGGGTGAGCCCCTCCCTCCCTCCTTGGCCCCCAGAATTTGGATCTGGTTCCCCCGTGTGTGGACACCAGACCTTCCAACAGCCTAGGCTACACCTAATTCAAACCCCCACCTAGACCAGCAGGACACCTCTCCCCTCAGATCACGGCAGCCAGGCCAGAACCCATTAATAACAGGACCAGGACTCTCCTGGAGTCCAGTCTCCTGGGAGAAAGACTCACGTGACTAAAAATAGGTCACATATGTAAAAGTGGCCTGGAAGCTGGGTGTGCTGGAGCACAACTGTAACTCCAGCACGTGGGAGGCTGAAGCAGGAGGATGGCACCGAGTTTGAGGCCAGCCTGAAATACACAGTGAGACCCTGTTCCAAAAACCAAAGAGAATGAAGTGGCTAGGCAGAACCTGGGGGCTGTGAGAGCTTAAGGACCTGCCTTGATTGGGAGACTCTGGGAGGCTTCCCGGAGGAGGACGTGACTCGTGGTCTGAGAAGCCAGAGGAGGCAGTGTCAGGGCATCAGGTGGGGATCCAAGTGACAGGTGTCACAGGGACAGAAACCACCACCAAGGCGTCCTACAGCCAGTGCCACCCTCCCAGCCCACAGTCACTTTCCCAGCCAGCCCCCATAGCAGCAGGCCCTGATCAGCGTGCAGCCAGACAAGACCCGCTCTGTCCCCACCCTTAGGTAGTGGGCTTGTACCGTCTGTGCGGCTCAGCGGCGGTAAAGAAAGAGCTTCGGGATGCCTTTGAGCGGGACAGCGCAGCTGTCTGCCTCTCTGAGGACTTGTACCCTGACATCAACGTCATCACAGGTCGGCACGACCCCCGTCACCTTTGCGGGCTCATATCCGGTCCGACCTTGTTTGCCCTCTCCTGTACTGTCCTCCACTTCCCCCCTACTCCCAGGCCCAGGGAACCCTCTGGTCTCAGAAACCACTGACACTCTGACCGCAGCGGCTCCCTGTGCCCACAGGCACCCTCAAGGATTACCTTCGAGAGCTGCCCACCCCACTCATCACCCAGCCCCTGTATCAGGTGGTCCTGGAGGCCATGGCCCGAGGGCCCCCAAGCAGAACTCCCCCAAGTCCCGAGGGCACCCGAGGGCTCCTCAGCTGCCTGCCGGATGTGGAAAGGGTGAGTTAGCCCTGGTGGGGGTAGCGGGAGATGGGGCGAGCAGGACCAGAAGGGCACTTCAACCCTGCCTGAGCCTGTGACAGGCGAGAACTTGTGGGACCATCACCCCCCTACAAAGCAGGTACTGTGGGCACTTTCACTCATAGATCAGCAAGCCAAGGCCCAGAGCAGTTGAGTGAGTTGTCCAAGGAGGCACAGCCAGGATATGTTAAAACCGCAGACTGTCAACACAAGTCTGCTAGCCTGCCCAAGGGAAGGTCCTGGCTGTGGGATCTCAAACAAGTCCTTTCTCTCTCTGTGCCTCATACTGTCACCTGTAAAGTGGGATTGTGACAACTCCGCCTAACCTATAGGAGTGGGGTGCAATCTCAGCTCTGCCACTCAAAGCTGATGGCCCTTGGCTTTGGTCTGTCCTCTGGCAAAATGAGATCAAGCAAACAGCTCAGCCACCTGCCAGCTGTGAGACCTCAGACTTCAGTTTCCCCACTTCGGGTGGCCTTAGTCGCTCACAGGTGTGACAGGGCCACGACTCTGCCTGCCTTATGCCCACCCTGCCCTGACATCCTCTCCACAGGCCACGCTGACGCTTCTCCTGAACCACCTGCGCCTCGTCTCCTCCTTCCACGCCCACAACCGCATGACCCCGCAGAACCTGGCCGTGTGCTTCGGGCCCGTGTTGCTGCCGGCGCGCCAGGCACCCTCTCGGCCCCGCATCCGTGGCTGTGGCCCAAGCGTCACCAGCGCCGTGGACTTCAAGCGCCACATCGAAGTGTTACACTACCTGCTGCAAGCCTGGCCAGGTGAGCCCGCCCAAGGCCCCAGCCACCAATCCAGTCAGGCTGTTAGGGCACCGCCTTCAGGAGCATCCAATCAAAGTCTGGTTAGGGCAGGCCACGCCTCCTCTGGGTTAAAAAAAAAAAAAAAAAAAACGAGATCTAGCCAATGTGCCATTGCTGCAGCCAGGAGTCCCGCCTCACAACGTGCCAATCAGCCTGGTTGCCTAAGCAACCAATTTGGCCCTTACCAATGAAATCCTAGGCCTTGTCTCCCCTAAGGGCCTAGTTGTGCACGAAGTCATCACAAGTGTTCCCTCTGCTCCCTCAGATCCCCACCGGTCCCCAGAGGCTCTGGACGTTGCACCGTACATGCGGCCCAAACAACCATCCCTGCACTTGCCGCTAGCGAGCCCAGAGGTGGTGACGCGGCCTCGCGGTCGAGGAGGCCCAGAAAGCCCTCCAAGCAACCGATATGCTGGCGACTGGAGCGTGTGTGGGCGGGACTTCCTGTCTGGACCTGACTATGACCACGTGACGGGCAGTGACAGCGAGGAGGACGAAGAGGAGGAGGCAAGGGAACAAAGAGGCGCTGGCGACTTTGAGGATGAGTTTGATGCGCCCTTCAATCCACACCTGAATCTCAAAGACTTCGACGCCCTCATCCTGGACCTGGAGAGAGAGCTCTCCAAGCAGATAAACGTGTGTCTCTGAGCGGTGGGGCGGGGCCCTTAGCATCCCCAAGATGGGGTTGCTCCTGGTTGCTAGGGGGGTTGCCAAGGGGCCAGCTTCCTCCGCTAAGTCATTCCCAGTGTCCAGTGCCCTTATGTGGGTACCAGTTGTAAAGGCCAGGCCCAGGGCTTTCGGGATCATAGCCGCCGTGGCCGTCTTCCCGAGCGCCTGGACTTCTTGGCCTTCGTTGCCCAAAGACGGTTCTCCTGCTTGCTAGGCTGGCCTCTCTTGCCACCCCTCTGCTGGGGTACACACCAGTTACTGTGAGCATCACTCTGGGGTGCTAAGACACCCCGTTCAGGCCTCTTGCTGCTGCCAACCAAATCAGTATTAGCTTCGAGCACTGCGCTCTGTGTCTCCCTCCTCTGGAGGGCCCAAGCACGATCCCCAGGTGCTGTCCGAGGGTAGGTGACCCCTATTCTGACTCCAGCTGGATAGGGGCAGCCTGGGGCTTGCAGACACAGCTGGTTTCCTTCCCCACCCTGTTTTCCAGGGAAGACCCCGTGATAGGCCTGCAGCCAACCAATAGAGAGGGCAGAGCCTGGGCCCTGCCTTCCTCCCCTCCCCATCCTGACCCCAAAAAAACCATTGAGCACTTAGCCCCTCCCTTTCAGAGGGGCCCTCCCCACCTGAAGTGTCAGGCTGGGGCACTTTGGTACGGAACCTATTTATTGCCTCCGTGCGTGTGTGTGTGTGTGGACCAGTGTGTGTGGACCTGTCTGGAGATCGGGGTTGTGGAACTTCCAGGGACCACAGAGGGGGGGAGATTTCACCCTGCCAGGTACCCTGAAGTCCCCAGGAATCCAGTGGGAGAGTAAGGTCCCCTCCTGTCTCCCTCTTCTTTCCCTCACCTCCATCTTTGTGGATAATAAATCAATATGCACAGGTTCTGTGACTGAGTCCTTGGGCCCACAGGGCCAGCGGTGGTTTATTTGGTCTGTAAGAGCAGAGGGGAGATAGTGCAGTTAGGCCTGTGGAGGCAAAAAGCCCGCAGCTCTCCAGGGCTGCCAAGATGCCTCTGAGTGCTTTGATCCTCTGTCCCCCCTCAGCTCAGGGAGGGTTGTGAGGTCACCAGGTCTCGTGGGTTAGGTCCGGTGCAGGCAAGAATGAGACTCCAAACCAGCCAGGCACAGTCCAGGTGCAGGAAGGAAGCCAAGCGTGCTCACCCTGGAGGCACTATACGGAAATGGAGCCATCTCGGAAGTCCGTCCTCCCAATGAGGATGTTGACCACAACCGGGTGGCCATCTTGGCACTGCTGCTGGCCGTCACGCAGCACCTGGGCCATCTGGTCCTCATTCTCCCGTGAGAGCAGCAGGCCCCGAGCCCCCAGACCTACGGCTGCCTTGTGATAATCTGCAAGAGGAGATCAGCTCAGCACGCAGCCCGCCATGTAGAGGAACATACGGCCCACTGGGCACAAAACAGGACCGGTCAGTCCAGGCCACCTACACGCGCCCTGCCGAGAAGCCTCACCTGTGTAGGCCAGGCCACAGGCCACGTTACTGCCCAGTCTGGGCACCTGCTCCCGAGAAATCTGCGTCCAGCCTGCGTCGTTACCTATCAAGGCTATCACTGGGATCTGCAAAAAAGATGAGCGGACTACAGCCGTCACCCCAAAGGCCTGGCCAGCCAAGCAGCAAGGCCTCTGCCTGGCAGACAGTGCCGTCCCACCTCAGGGGCTCCAGAGCGCCCCTAAAGCCCTGGTCACCTTGTGTCTGATGAACGTGTCAAACTCGATGAGGCTGTACCCAAAGGCTCCGTCCCCAAACAGGCACCAGACCTGATGGAGGAGGGCCCGGACGGTTAGAGGGATTCACGGCCCGAAAGGCACCAAGTCTCCCAACATCCAGGGCCTCACCTCTGCATCCGGCTGGCACAGCTTGGCCCCGAGGGCGAACCCTGCACCGACTCCCAGAGTCCCAAAGGCCCCTGGAAAGACAAAGTGCCGCTCACCGGGAAGGGCTCAGAAGGTGTGAGCTGCTAGGGGTGTGGCCCTTCCTTACCAGGATCGAGCCAGCGCAGGGGCCCCCGGGGCTGCACAAGGTAGGCAGCAGTGGCCACAAAGTCCCCACCATCAACCACAAGGAACGCGTTGTCGGGCAGAATCTCCTCCACCGTCTGCAGCACCCGCACTGGGTTCAGATGCTGGGCTACGGGCCTCGCTGCCTTCTCCCTGCAAGAGGTCGGGGAGGCTCAGCCGGGTCCCTCATAGCCCACTGGAAAAGCCCTTGCCTGTCCGCTCCCCGCAGACCCACCGGTAAGTCTGCTCCTTCTGCTGGTCAGCTTCCTGCAGCTCCTCCACCCAGTCTGCTGCCCACGTCTGGCCCCGAAGGCCTTCCGCCAGCTTCAGCACAAAGGAGCCCACATCGCCTGGTGAAGGAAGAGCTTTGGCTCCCTCCTGCCTTCCAGTGCCAGAGGCCAGAAGACGATGAGAAGCCAAAAGCAACATCCCAGGCAGCGGGGATGGAAGCCGGCCAGGGCTGCTGCTAGGGCAAAGCGGGTAAAAGGCACCCCGAGGTCTGCCAGAAGCAGGCAAGGGCAGTCTGGACTAGAGGGAAGTGAAGCAGCGAGATGAGATTTAGGGAACCCAAGTTGGACCCATAATCCTCTTTCCCTCGCCCTTTACATCGCCAAGTCCTGTGGATGCAGCCTCCAAATGAACGGATGAAAACGATGCCACTGAGGGCCGGGAAGTAGCTCAGCAGTAGAGCACCCGCCTCACACGCCTCACACGCACAAGACTCAAACCACAGGAAAACCAGCTCCGCCCCGCAAGCAGGGCTCTCCCAGAGGCTCGCAGGGGTTTCTCAGCCTCCCGCTCGAGAAATGCCCAAGTGGCAGCTTGGAAGTGTTGGGCTGCTCACACCATCCACGCCCACTCTGTGCCCTGCCATCGCTGCCCCGTCTCCGCCTGTGCCCCTTCCAGCCTGCTGCCCACCAGCTGCGGGGCTGCACCTTCCCCAGGGCAGGGCCTGGGCCTTCACTCTGACACCCAGCTCAAGGCAGCTGAGAGCACGGGCCAGGACGAGAGGGACCAGTACGCAGTGGGGCCGCTGCGGAGCTCACCCTGCACGGCCTCCTGGGGCTTCCAGAAGATGTCCGAGTTCAGCAGCATCTCTTCCCTGTTCCGATTCACCACGATGATCTTGCTGCGCCGGCTCAGGACGCGGCCATAGGAGAGACGGAAGTCACACACGGCTCCTGGAGCAGGGGCAGGGAGGGTGTCAGTACCCAGAGGCCTGGCGTGCACAGCGATGCCCACGGCCTTGCTTTGGATCCACTGTAACACAGTTCCTGTGCTCTCTGCCTCCCTCGAATCAGGGCTGACCTCGGGAGTAGCCCTGGCCAGCAGGGTGCGGCGGCAGCAAGGGTCCTGTGGTTCCTGAGAGGCCTCAAAGGCTGGGGGTGCTGCTCGGTACAGAGCACCTGCCTGGCATGTGTGCGGCCCTGGGTTCCATCCTCGCCCCACAAGCCGAAGGAGGACGGAAGGAAGGAGGGAGGGGAAGAAGAGGAACGTTTCTCATCCTCCACCAAGTGACCAGTGCGGGCTGGCCTGCTCGAGGACACGGCACACAGTGGGCCCAGGGTGCAGGCAGAGACCCAGCTGCAGCCTTTGCCAGACCCCAAGCAGGCAAACAAGGCCCGGCCCCCCTGGATTGCACAGCAGCCTCCCTGCTCCATTGAGTCCAGCTCACGAAGGAGCCAAGTCCAAAGGTGAGCGAGTCTCTCTTTTTTTTAATTAATTCGGCTCCTGTTCTGTTTCTGCAGCCCTGGACAAGGAAGCCAGGGCTCTGGCCGTGCTGAGCAGGCATCTGCCAGGAAGCTGAAATCCCAGCGCCGCATGTTAGGAAATCACAGGGGCACCGCGGGTCACCGAGTTCGGGCACAAGATTGCAGTCTTGCATCGCCCACGCACATTTCGGTAAAGGACACACACACAACCAGCCCTGTGCAAGGACACTGCCCCGTGACTCGATGACCACCCTGCTTTGTCTAAATACCCTCGGTGACATTCACATGGCAGCCACATGGCCTGGTGACACACCTCTCTGACAGAGCATCCCTGTTACCCAGCAACACGTGCTGTGCACAGCCAGAGCTCAGTCATGTGGGGCGCACACCTGTCAGCCCAGCACTCCAGGAGGCTGATGCAGGAGGCCTGAAGTTCAAGCCTCAGGGACATAGTGAGACCCTTGCTCAGAATCAAACATTGAAGGGCTGAGGCATAGCCCAGCAGGAAGGCCCTGGGGTCCGATCCCCAGAACTGCCTAAAAGGTCGAGGGGCTGGCGAGACAAGTCTGTTGTGCATCTATCAGGATTCAGAGTGCCTGACGTGAAAATGTGTGTGACACAGCAGGTGCCCGTGAGGCGTGTGTCCTGGGGGGTAAACTGTGTCAAGGTCCCCTCCAATTTCAAGGTGGAGCTGTTCCAAGGCCCTGAAATGGGAAGGGGGTGATGGCAGAGGAGAGGGTACGCTGACAGGCTGGTGGGGTGCCAGGGAAAAGGGGATCTCGGGGGAGAGGGGAGGGGCTCTCAGGGAGACCCACCTGCCAGGATGACAACGTCAGCCTTCTTCAGGGCCGCCCCGCGATTCTGCCGGATGTGGAGGGGGTGCTTGCGGCCCAGCAGCCCCCGCGCCATCCCCCCTAGGAAGCAAGGGACGCCTAGGGTCTCCACGGCAGCCCTGGACAGCCAGGCAGAGTGCAGGTCAGTGCGGCCAAGGGCCTGCCCCCTCCCAGCAAGGCAGCGGCAGACCAGGGCCAGGGCCCAGGGAGCAAGGGTGGGGGCTCCTCACCGAAGCTTGCTGGCAGGCGTCGGGGGCAGCAGAGCCTGGCTGCCCAGCAGCAGCAGGGGCCTCTTGGCCCTGCTCAGGATCTCCACGCAGCGCTGGACCTGACGCAAGAGTCAGGGTTCAAAGGGTCACCATCTTGCCCAGTCTTGCCTCAGGGAGAAGGTCCGCAGGCCCGGCCAGGTGGGAGTCCTAGGCCAGCAGGAGGTGACTCACCTGCTGCGGGGAGGCCTGGGGGATGTCCAGGGGCAGGGGCCCCTCGGGCTGAGGCTCCCATGCGCCAGCAAAGAGGTTAGCCAGGCAGTTCCGCAAATACCTATGGGAAGAGAGGAAGGAGCCCAGTCACAGTGCTCCGAGGGGCTGAGGCCAGCCAGGGGCTCGGACGGGGCTGGAAGCAAAGGAGAAAGGGACACAGGAGTCGGGCAGTGACCAGGAACAGTGAGGATGGACCTTTAGAGCTCTGGATGACAGCAAGACCCTGGCCGTGGCCCCTGTGCCGTGGGTGCCCCCAGGGACCAGGAGGCACTGAGTCTCCAGCTGTTTACCCCAGGCACCTCTGAAGGCCAGGTCCATCCGACCCGGCCCTGCTGCAGCAACAAAAACCGGAGCCCAGGTGCCTGGACGGGGGCCAGGGCTGCAGGACAGCCACATGGGCCCGGGCCCGGCTCCATCCTAACTCCGGCCATCTGTCCACCGCAGTACTAAGGCCCTCTGCAAAACACTGCACCTGCGGGCGCTGCTACCCTCACCGTCCCTGGCTTCTTCCCATGCCTGCCTCCTTATTCACTGGGCCGTGGGCCCCGAGTTTCCTGAAGGCCCCGTGTGGGGTCCCTGGAGACACACAGAGCAACCCTGTCCAGGCCTTGCCCTCAAGGAACCCTCCTCAGTCCAGCTAGAGACGGCCCAGGAACCTTGGCAGGAAGCGGTCAGGGCTTAGAGCCAGGAGTTGGCTTTGTCTGTGGCATCAGGATTCCAGAAAAGATGACAAGAAAAGCCAGAGACAGGGCAAGTGAAAAGGATGAAAAGAGGCAGCTCTGCGAGGGGCAGCGAGAGACAGGAAAAGGGAAACAGGAGAGGAAGAAAGATGGTGACCAGCAGGCCCCAAAATCACTCCCACTCAAGCCGACCTTCCAAGAACTTCTCAGGAACCCAAAGCGCAGGGACCCGTCTTGTCCATCAAGGTCACCCAGGCCTGTCACAGGACCTGACACCTGGCCAGGGCTTAGTAAATATTTGGAGGGGGAGGAGTGAGCCAACAGGCAGCAGAGCCCTCCAAGCTCACCCTCTGCTCAGCTGCTTCCACAAAGGCCACCCTTTGCTTTTCTAACCCAGCAATCCACTCCTGCCTCAGGACCTTTAAACATGCTTTTCCTCTCCCCACAGCCTGCCCCTCTTGGGCCATGTATAAACCGGTGGCTAAGTCAAAGGAGGGTGAAGGCACAGAAAGAAAAGGCTGCAGGAGACAGCAGGAGACAAGAGGGTGCAGCGGGAATGGCATTATTTACCAGGAGATCACCCAGCCCATGAGGCCCTTTGGCGGCTTGGCTGGCACCATCTCCTTCTGGACCATGAAGTAGGGGTACAGCACATCGAGGGGCAGCTCCACAAACACGGGCCCTGTGGGTACAGAGAAGCAGCTGAGCCTAGGATACCGCACTGGGACCCTGCTCACTGCGCAGCACCTGGCCCCGCCTACCTGGGGTCCCCGACTGGGCGGCGGCCACAGCAGCCCTCAGCGTGGGCACGATGTCCCGCACCCTCCGCACCGACACACAGAACTTGCAGAGCGGCCGGAATAGGGACAGCTGGTCGATGGCTTGCAGGGCGCCCCGTTTCTGGCAGCGACAGGGTAGGGAGGTGACCATGTGAGTCCCTGGAGCCTAGCCAGGCTCCCCGCCACTCTGCAAACCCCGGGTACCTGCAGCAGGGTGCTGGCAGCTCCTCCGAGCAGCAGGACGGGGGACTGTGCCACCTGCGCGTTCTTCACCGCGGTCACCGTGTTGGTGAGGCCAGGGCCTGCCGTCACTGCCGCCACCCCCACGGTGCCTGGAACACAGTCCTGTCATGGACGTGCACCCCCACCACGCCACTGCCCCTGCTCTCCCAGACCCACACCACTGTCCCAGCAGCCAGCATCCTCTGCACCCCTCCCTCACCTGTCAGGCGAGCCACAGCATCGGCCGCGAAGACGGCCGTGACCTCATGGCGCGTGTCCACCACACAGATGCCCAGCTTCTCACAAGCCACCAGCAGCGGGGAGATGTGGCCACCGATCAGCGTAAAGACGAAGCGCACGCCGTGCGCCCGCAGCACAGCAGCCACGCTCTCCCCACCGTGCCGCACGCTTGTCTCATCCACCTGGGCAGGGAGAGAGACAAGCAGACCGGTCAAGAGGGTGGACAGGCAGGGAGGAGCAATTGGTGAGACCCTGTCTCCAAATAAATAAATAAATTTTAAAAAGGACAGTGGATGTAGCTCGATCTTAAAAGCATCCCTGGATTCATCCAAAAATAGAAACACTGTCAGGGGCCAGTACACTGGCAGCCAGGAGAAGGGTCAGACTGAAGTCAGGGGAACCTGGGAGCTGGTGAAACAGTTACTCTGGGGATCAAACTCATGACCTTGCACTTAGCAAGCAAATGCTTAAGCCACTGAGCTAAATCCCCAGCCCTTTTCTATTTTCTTGTGCAGGTAAGAATACCAAGACTTGCCCAAGAGAGAGTTAAGTCCAACAGAACGCACAACGGTAACTGTCAGGCTGTTATGTCACATGCCTCAGAGACACAGGTGAGCAGGAGGCGGAGAGGAGAGGTGTAAACAGAAGGCCGGGGAGTCGGGCCAGAGGTAGGAGGCTACCATCTGGGCCTCTGCCTGCCCTAATATCCCTGCAGGGCCTGGCACCTGGACTGCTGACTCCAGCCTACCTGGCTTCCTCCCAACAAGGCTGAGCAGGTCTGGGTCCAGCTCACGTGCTGCCAGCTACACACGGCTGGCACCAAAGCTCCTGCCCAAACAAACCACATGGAGGACCCTTGGTCCCAGCAACTACAGCCTGAAACCTCCATGCATCTAAACGTCAGCAGCATTGCTCCCAGCTAGAAGGCCTGGAGAGGAGGTCTGGGGAACAGGTCGATTTCTGACAGAAAAGCAAGTGATTCACAGAGAGAGACCTGTGAATTCATCTGGGGAAAAACTGCTGAAACAACCTCTCCGGCCAAACAGGTCACCTCTCTGGGCCTCAGTCTCCTCTCCTGGAAATATGCACAGAAACGGCAGAAAGTAACTTTCCAGGAGATGGTGAGGGATGTGTAAGAAAATCCCCCTAAATCATTAAGCTTGGGGGCTGGGGATTTAGCTCAGCGGCATAAGTACCTGCCTTGCAAGCAGGCGGTCGTGAGTTCGATCCCCGGTACCAATAAAAATGAAAAAGACAAAAAAAAAAATTAAAAAAAAATCATTAAGCTTGGCAGAGGGCCACTGTCACAGAAGCCTCTCCAGCCCATTGATCCTGCTGGGCTTAGGAAGCATGAGCCCAGGGCTGCCTCTGCTCAAGCCGTGGGGAAGGAGGAAGGCAGGGTGGGGCCACTGCCCAGGCAGCAGGTGCTGCCTTATCTCTAATGGCAAAGTCCAGGGCCCACAAACGGTGCAAAACCCTGGCTAGAAACTCCCAGCCAGCCACACTGGACTTGTCAGGACTCGCTTTCCCTGTTAGAAAAAAAAGAACCGAGCCAGCCAGGAGCACCCTACAACCCTCCTTTTCTGGCGCCCACCCCCAGCCGGCCTCCCACCAGCGCCCCGGCACCTTGTGCATCAGCTGATAGAAAAGCCCCAGTCTGTGAGCAGCCACCAGCAGGGCTGTCACCAGCGTCCCGCACGCCAGAAGCAGGAACAAGAAGGGGGACACCTCCGCGGGGACGGGGGCGGCGGCGGCGGGGTTCTCCATGAGGCAGCACCTGCGGGAAATAGCACAGTACAGGCACTGGGGCAGGACATCACCTAATCCGGAAGAAGCAGCGTCCCCACTTTTGCGAGTCTTGGGCCACGCCCCTTGCTGCCAGCTTGAGGCCACGCCCCCTAAATAACCAGGCCACTCCCTTGCTATGAGTCTCCGAGAAGCCACGCCTCTTTCTGCGAGTCTCGGCGAGGCCACGCCCCACACACTAGATTGAGCGAGGCCAGGCCACGCCTCTCGCGAGAGCGGAGGGGGGTAGAGGGTGAGCGGGGGGGGGGGGCATAAGGCAGTGCCAACAAGGAGGGGCGATACGCGAAGCGGGCCGGTAGGGACGGGGATTTCACGGGTGTCCTCATATCCGCCACCCACTTATGTCATCGCCGTTCAAAGTAGGCTACCGCGAGTAAATGCAAGGATAACAGCATCAACACAAAGTGTTTTGTTTTTACGCACGTACCTGGATGTCACTCTATGAGCGGGAAGCCCCGCCCCTCGTTTACAGAGCACTCGAGAATCTCAGCCCCGATGCTGAGCCCGCCCCGCGTCTTCCCCAAGCGCCACGGAGCCACGCCTACCCCCGGTTGGGAGCGCGCGACCCTCAGCCCCAGCCACGCTGCTACCCTGCAGAGAGCGCGGAGCCGAGCCGGACTCTCCAACGCAGGCCAGGAAGATAAATAGCATCAGGACGCTTCTCCAGCGCCGGATGGACCTTCAGGGTCCTTCACCTACAAGAAACAGCCCTGACTCAAGCGGAATTGGGCGCCCTCAGTGTCACGTGACCCAGGCGTTACCCCCCCTCCCCCGCGCGCTCCTTTGGTCCACTTGACTCAGCGGCACCCGTAGTTCAGGCCGTGCGCATGCGCGTGCGCAAAACCTGAGCCAAACTGGGGGGGGGCCGTTAAGAGTCCAATCTCTATTGACTGCTTTGCCCTTAGGCCCCGCCTCTCCTCGCCTTTCATTGGCTTGAGCTGCAGACCTAATGCCTTATCCACTTTTTAGCTAGAGGCCGTGGCCCTTGGCGTCTTCCATTAGCTGAGACCCTCGGTGTCCCGCCTTCTGCAGTCATCCTCCGTACTGGAGACCCTTAGCTTCTCGGCCCTCCCAGAGCAGGTCGCTTTCCACACCAGCCCGGCCGTACGGTCCTTCACGTTTGCTAGGTGTGACAGCCACCCAGAGACCACCATCCCGGAACTCATCCCTCTAAAACGCCAGCCTGGCCATAGCCACGTCCCCTCTCACCATCCCGCCCCTGCGCACCGCCCCATCGTGGACCACCGGGGTCCTCTATGTGCAGCATCGCCGCGATTACTAGTGACAGTTCTTGTTCAATAGTATTTCAGCTGTCCAGCTCCTGAACAGTGATCTTCGTGTAGGAAAGGAGGAGTCGTTCTTACACCAAGCCCTCGCTTCCGTTTTCAGCAGTCATCTGTATTTAATGAGTGCAGTTTGCTCTTGAATGCCATCTAAACGGGCTCTCCCTTGAGAACTGTTCTGTATATTCCTTCACAGTCTCCAAATCGGTTGCTCCACCTTCTATTTCTGACTCAGCTCCACCCTTCAAAGTGTTCTGAGGGAGTCACCCCTGCCTGCAGGGAGGACCCCTAACTAACAGGATAAAATGCAAACTTCCTGTAAGAGTCTTCCAGGATCAAGTACAGTACCAAAGTCAGTACTGAAGTAGTGTTCATCACCTTTGGATCAAGCATGTATTACATGTGAGAGGCTGAACCAGGCCTGCTGGTGCACACGTATCATCCTCCCAGCACTCTGGAAGGCTGAGGCAGGAAAGTTGCAAGCTAAAGTCCAGCCTGAGCAAATTCTGAGACTAAGGGAGACGTATCTCAAATTAAAAATTAAAAAAGGCTGCTGGGGGATGTAGCTCAGTCAAAGGCCCTGGGTTCAATTCCCCAGTACTGAGGGAAGAAGAGTTCCGGTGGCTAAATACCCGGGTCTCCCACCCGTTGGATGACACAGATGAGATTTTACACAGGGAACTTCCTCGGTACCACGCCCTTCAATGGCCTCCACCTCCCAACCCTGCCCACTCCCCAGCAACCACCCCACATCTCCGACTTGCTTAGTCCCTGTTATGGATTAAGAACTGGTGGTCAGCTTGGTTACATCAGCATGGCGCTGAGTGTAGATGCTCCACCTGAGGAAAGTTGCCAGCATAGAGACTTGGAGGATGAGAAGCTATGTTTTGAGGCGTTGAGGCATTGTGGGTTCTCCTACATGTTGCTGTCTGAGCTGTTGGTTCTCCTGGAGAAGCTTTGGTCCTCACATCGAACATTGCTTCCTGGATGCAGAGGGGAAGACGTGTGCCCCTTGGTCTCCAGGATGAACTCGTCACACTGGCTTCCTGGCACGTACCCGACTGTGCTTATCGTCGGAGAGCTCAGGGCCTCCCTGTTGCTGAGGAGGGCTGTGATGCTTTTCAGGACAGTCCTGGTCTTTGTTGTGAGTGTGGCTTCTCAGCTCCAGCATAGAACCCTCATCCCACCAGCACAACTCCTTCACCCTAATGGCACAGGCTTCCTGGCTTCTACCGCTGACCTTTGGGCCTTCCCAGCACAGATCTGTAAAGAGACTGACATGAGTCCTTCTTGTGGGCTCTGGACCTCTAGTTAGACTCGTGTGGGGCATTGTCATGAGCTCTGGGTTTAACTAAATATTCTATTTAGTGTTGTGGATAGATTTCCTGCATTTCTTGTGTTAACTCTGGGTGACCATCATCAAATGATATTATAAACTCCATGTCCTGATTCTGATTGTTCTCTGCAGAACCCCTGACCACAACAGTCCCCATCCAGGAGACGCAATCTAAGATCCAGGGCTTGATGTGAGAAACATTCATTCAGCTCTGCAAAACGGATAAGGGATCTCTTACCACACAAGCAGTGCGAGCAGTGTCATCCAGAACATAGAGCAGAAACCTGACCTCCTAGCTTCCTCCTGTCAGAAGGACCCTGTGCTAAGCCGAGAATTCTCTCCTAAAGCAGTGATGAGTTTCTCCGGCAGGTGCCAAGGTAAGGTGATCAGCTTGGGCCCTCTGGTCATGAACCTGTCTGATGCAGTGTGGCTGAGACTCATCTCATCATGGGACAAATTTCTCGCCCCTGGAGCCAGGTTATAAACCAGCTAGATAGGCCTCTGAAAGCCCTGCCCCTCCCCAGCCGTATTATACACGCTGTGTGGCAGTGTCCTGCCGTGTCGCCCTGCTAGGACCACAGGCGGGCACTGCTGCACCCACTGTCCTGAGTTTAACCTGGTCACATAACCTTGGTCACAGCCTTCGTCTCTCTCTCTCTCTCTCTCTCTCTCTCCCCCCCCAAACTTTCACTTTCACAGTGTTGGAGATGGAACCCAGGGGCACTCTACCACTAAGCTAGAACCCCAGTATGTTTTATTTTTTTTTTATTTTGAGACAAGATTTAAGTTGCCCAGGTAGAACTTGAACTTGGGATCCTCCTGCCTCAGTATCCTTAGTATAGACTTTTTAAAATAATGGAATAATTTGAGGTCTAAATTTTACAGAAAACAATATGTGAAAAATAAGAACAAGAATCCCCTGTATTTCCTTCACTGAGCTTCTGTATTGTGTGTGTGTGGTATTGTTTTGTTTTCAGAGTCTTGATATATAGTTCAAGCTGACTGTGAACTCGCTATGTAGCCTGGTTAGCATTGAACTCGTGGAGACTCTCCTGTATCAGCCTCCTGAGTGCTGGGGTGACAGGTATGCACCACCATGCCCTGCAGTCTTTTCAGACACCTTTGGTCTGCAGTTGGCTGAATCTGTGAGACAGAGCCTACAGATACACAGGGCCAGCTGTGCTCACTCATCGGATCCTCATAACAACCCGACAAAGTGGACAGCGTACTTTCCAATAGGAAAAAACAAGGAAAGGTTGATAAGGCCAGGCCACCACAGATTCAGGGAACGGTGGGGCTGCGGTCTAAGAGCACAACAGCGGCCCCAAAGCCTGCGATCTTGTTCACCGTGGTGTCATTACTTGGAAGACAAACGTCCTCTCCTATTTTAGCATCATCCTAAACAATATTACTCAAGAAGTCACACTTTGATGTGTAGAATTAGCTATGCATTTTCCAGTATCCTCTTAAAATAAGTGCCCTGTAAACCAGGGATGGCGGCACCACCTGTAATCCCAGAACTCTGGAAAGCTGAGGCTGGAGGATCCCAAGTCAGCCTGGGAAGTTTAATGACTTAGCCAGGCCCTGTCTCAAAAATTTTTTAAAAAACCAACAAATGTGAAGTGTTGGGGATGCAACTCAGTGCAAAGGCCCTGTGTTCAACCCACAACAGCACAAAAAAAGTAAAGGCATCACTAATAAAAATATATGGGTGCCTCAGTGGTAGAGCGCTTGCCTAGCATGCACAAGGCCTTGGGTTCAACACTCCAAAAGAGAAACAAAGTAAGTTAACAACAACAACAAAAAAAAAAACCACAGTCACACATGGGAGTGTACACTTCTAATCCCACCGCTCAGGAGGCTGAAGCAGGAGAATCACTGCATGTTCCAGGCCAGCCTGGGCCACATAACAGAACCTGTCCCCCGCCCCCCAAAAAAAAGATTAATTAAATAAGCCAATAAACTTTTTAAAAGCACACAAGCAAAGTGAAATACACTGCCTTCTCTGGATCGACAGGTCTGTGCCTTCTCTTCCTCTCCTCTGACAGTTTCAATGCCCAAAGCAAATCTGAGAGCTTCCCAAGCATTACCTCACCTGACCACCACACCCTGTGGCTTGTGAAAGTGCTTTCCCTGAGTTCTTTCTTTCTGGAACCTGTGTTTAGCTGATGTCACACTGCAGGTCCACCCCCAGGGGATAAGGCAGCAGCGGGAAATCCAGGGCTGGTGTGTTTATCTTCCTAGGACTGCCTCCCTCCTTGGGTGGCTTCAAAGAGGAGAAATTAACACTCTCACTGCTTAGAAGCCTCGAATCAGAGGTGTCAGCAAACAGAGTCCCTCTGCACGCTCTGAAGAAGGAAAACTTCGTGCTCTGGGCTGAATGGAGGCCGCTGTAATCCCTGGGCTACAAAGTGAGCTCAAGGCCACTCTCCCCTTTTGCTGTGCTGGGGTGAAACCCAACATCTTGCAGATGCTAGGCAAGCGTTCACCGCTGGGCCGCACCCTCCCATCCGCCCAGCACCTCCCAGGTCTGCTCCCAGCATCAGGTCACCTCCTTCTGCGTGTGTGTCCACAAAATGTCCTTGTCTGCCTCTGACAAGGACCTCTGGCCGCTGCACTGGGGGCTCACTCACATCCAGGGTGACCTCACCTGGAAATACCTGAGTCCCATCCACAGGAAGGCGCCTCCCGACCTGCGGAGCTTCTGTTTGGGCATGAATTTGGGGACAACACTGTTCCACCTGCTCCACTGGGAAAACAGAGTCTCCCTGGGAATTCAGATTCAGGAAGGAAGCAGGGAAGTGGGGTCAGAAGCAGTGAGAATCGTGACGCTCCTGTGGGATACAGGATGCCTGAGGCTGATTATTTTTTTGGCACTTAACCTGAAGGCGCAGGACAGATAAGAAGGAGACAAAGTAGGAAGCGGCCTTGGCGAGGGCACGGAGAGGCTGCGGAGAAATCCAGAGGCTCTCCCGCTAGACAAAGGCCTGGGGCTGCTTGTATTAACTCTCATTGGGTGGTGATGCTAGAGCAGAAGGGACCCTTTATCTAGAGATTGCAGTGGCTTTGGCGCCAGCGGGAAGGAAAGGCAGGAAGTTATTTTGGGTCTGGACAA